CAATGGCAGAGGCTGGTCATCCAATGGCAGAGGCTGGTCGTCCAATGGCAGAGGCTGGTCGTCCAATGGCAGAGGCTGGTCGTCCAATGGCAGAGGCTGGTCGTCAATGGCAGAGGCTGGTCGTCCAATGGCAGAGGCTGGTCGTCCAATGGCAGAGGCTGGTCGTCCAATGGCAGAGGCTGGTCGTCCAATGGCAGAGGCTGGTCATCCAATGGCAGAGGCTGGTCGTCCAGAGGCTGGCAATGGCAGGCTGGTCGTCCAATGGCAGAGGCTGGTCGTCCAATGGCAGAGGCTGGTCGTCCAATGGCAGAGGCTGGTCGTCAGAGGCTGGTCGTCCAATGGCAGAGGCTGGTCATCCAATGGCAGAGGCTGGTCGTCCAGAGGCTGGTCGTCCAATTGCAGAGGCTGGTCGTCCAATGGCAGAGGCTGGTCGTCCAATGGCAGAGGCTGGTCGTCCAATGGCAGAGGCTGGTCGTCCAATGGCAGAGGCTGGTCGTCAATGGCAGAGGCTGGTCGTCCAATGGCAGAGGCTGGTCGTCCAATGGCAGAGCTGGTCGTCCAATGGCAGAGGCTGGTCGTCCAATGGCAGAGGCTGGTCGTCCAATGGCAGAGGCTGGTCGTCCAATGCTGGTCGTCAATGGCAGAGGCTGGTCGGGTCGCAGAGGCTGGTCGTCCAATGGCAGAGGCTGGTCGTCCAATGGCAGAGGCTGGTCGTCCAATGGCAGGTCGTCCAATGGCAGAGGCTGGTCGTCCAATGGCAGAGGCTGGTCGTCCAATGGCAGAGGCTGGTCGTCCAATGGCAGAGGCTGGTCGTCCAATGGCAGAGGCTGGTCGTCCAATGGCAGAGGCTGGTCCAATGGCAGAGGCTGGTCGTCCAATGGCAGAGGCTGGTCGTCAGAGGCTGGTCGTCCAATGGCAGAGGCTGGTCGTCCAATGGCAGAGGCTGGTCGTCCAATGGCAGAGGCTGGTCAATGGCAGAGGCTGGTCGTCCAATGGCAGAGGCTGGTCGTCCAATGGCAGAGGCTGGTCGTCCAATGGCAGAGGCTGGTCATCGTCCAATGGCAGAGGCTGGTCGTCCAATGCAGAGGCTGGTCGTCCAATGGCAGAGGCTGGTCAATGGCAGAGGCTGGTCGTCCAATGCAGAGGCTGGTCGTCCAATGGCAGAGGCTGGTCATCCAATGGCAGAGGCTGGTCGTCCAGAGGCTGGTCCCAATGGCAGAGGCTGGTCATCCAATGGCAGAGGCTGGTCGTCCAGAGGCTGGTCAGAGGCTGGTCCAATGGCAGAGGCTGGTCGTCCAATGGCAGAGGCTGGTCGTCCAATGGCAGAGGCTGGTCGTCCAATGGCAGAGGCTGGTCGTCCAATGGCAGAGGCTGGTCGTCCAATGGCAGAGGCTGGTCGTCCAATGGCAGAGGCTGGTCGTCCAATGGCAGAGGCTGGTCGTCCAATGGGTCAGGCAGAGGCTGGTCGTCCAATGGCAGAGGCTGGTCATCCAATGGCAGAGGCTGGTCGTCCAGAGGCTGGTCAGAGGCTGGTCGAGGCTGGTCGTCAATGGCAGAGGCTGGTCGTCCAATGGCAGAGGCTGGTCGTCCAATGGCAGAGGCTGGTCGTCCAATTGCAGAGGCTGGTCGTCCAATGGCAGAGGCTGGTCATCCAATGGTAGAGGCTGGTCGTCTGGTCGTCCAATGGCAGAGGCTGGTCGTCCAATTGCAGAGGCTGGTCGTCCAATGGCAGAGGCTGGTCGTCCAATGGCAGAGGCTGGTCGTCCAATGGCAGAGGCTGGTCATCCAATGGCAGAGGCTGGTCGTCCAGAGGCTGGTCGTCCAATGGCAAAGGCTGGTCGTCTGGTCAATTGCAGAGGCTGGTCGTCCAATGGCAGAGGCTGGTCGTCCAATGGCAGAGGCTGGTCATCCAATGGCAGAGGCTGGTCGTCCAATGGCAGAGGCTGGTCGTCCAATGGCAGAGGCTGGTCGTCCAATGGCAGAGGCTGGTCGTCCAATGGCAGAGGCTGGTCGTCCAATGGCAGAGGCTGGTCGTCCAATGGCAGAGGCTGGTCGTCCAATGGCAGAGGCTGGTCGTCCAATTGCAGAGGCTGGTCGTCCAATTGCAGAGGCTGGTCGTCGACTGCAGCCCGACTGCAGATGTGAGAAACTTCCCATTTGTGGTCAAGTCAAGTAAAAAAAACTGAGCGCTTAAACTTTACAACACTGTGAAGTTGATCTTATTTTGTTCTCACTCTATTTTTTCTTTTTCTATTATAACATCAAATTGCTTAAACGGTTACATAGGAATGTGTCACAACACACAGTGCATTGCATCAACACTGGACCTTGGATCAGTGAAAGAAGGTTGCCTGCTCTGATGACTTATATTGTGTAGACAGCTGTGTACGTGGGTGCTATATACCTGGGAAAGTGATGTCACCAGGATGCATTATGGGAAGACGACAAGCCAGTGGGAGGGGGTGTGATGCTCTGGGTAATGTTCTGCTGGGAAACCCTGGGTCCGGGCGTTCATGTGGATTCCAATTTCACACGTGCCACCTACCTAAATGTTGTCGCAGCATGGCAATGCCCTGATGCCACACTGCACACCGTGTTAAAAAATGGTACATAACGAGATACAATAGAGATTGGTGTGAGTACACGTATTCCATATATTGGCCCAAACAACAGCCAGAAACTCCTGACTTATTTGAGACGCCCTCTACAGAGATCTTCTCCCTGAGAATGAGAGAGGTTTGGAATGACTAGCCAAATTAAAGATGTCATGGTTTAGTTTTTGTTGAAATGTTCTTGCATCTTAGTTGTCAACGTGCGGCTAAAGTTGCAGACCATAGCACTTGCACCTTCTGAGAAATTTATTATTGGTCTACTGGGGGCATGTTGCTAAAATATAGCCAAGCAATTTGGAAAATAACTTTAAATAAGGTTTAAAAACGTCTGCTAAATGCCATACTGTATAACTTTAGTTCTTGGTAGGCTGATTCTGGTTGGGACAGGACACTAACGGACACACACACACACACACACACACACACACACACACACACACACACACACACACACACACAGCCTAAAGGAGAAACGCAAGTCAAGATGCTATTCAAACAGATGTTTAGTCTGCCCAGCGTGGAGCTGCCCACTGCCTCTTGTTTTTATTGGCTGATCTGAATCTGCCTTTCCTGTAACCAAAGGAGCTCTGTCGCGTGGGTCTGCTCTTTCCACCACACACGGGACGGGGACGGAGGGGATACGGGGTACGGGGGGATGAGAGAGGGGTTGGGTTGTAAGGCCACAGCTGCCAAACCCATGGGGACGGAACGAGCACTGGCCAGACATATAAACATGTGCGGCCATTCGGGATTCATTTTGAAAACGTCCCACTGGAAAAAGTCCGCACTGGGGTGACTCATCTTCCAAAAACAAAGAGGAGACAGATGAGAGCCATCCTTAACATTTCTAGCATATCCACAATGGAGATGGTCAGTCTCTGTCTGAAGGAAACCTAAAGTGAATTAGGATTATTCATGAGCTTCAGCTCAAGTCCGGGGCAAATAAATGTGTAATGTATATGTTCATTCTTCATTTATAAACCTGAGAGTTGGTGTAAATCACTACTTGACTTACATTGTTGTACCAGTCCAATAAATTCCAACTTCCTGTTAATAAAACACCTTATTAAATTAACCATCCTTGCCAAATTCTATGTGTTCCTATCAACAGAAACAACATTTAGAACCACCTGTACAAAACACCCAAAAGTACATCAGCAAATGGGCCTAAACACACATTCACAGGCTTTTTGTATGATAATTCACTAGTACTAAGAGCCAGACTTGTGCTCCTTGCGGTTAGGGGAGAGCAATCAGGTCCATGAATGCACTTTGGGGCTGCTGCCTTGGCAAGGGAACAAACTGGAAAGAAAATGACACCATAAATCAGCTCACCCAGCCACCATGCTAATTGTAATTGCAATGAATTTATCTGCCACCCAGTGCTCGGAAATCCAATTTATACCGAACTGAAAGTGTGAACTACTGGAATCAAATAGAAAAACTGTATACCTCTGTTGTAAAAAAAATTCATATAAATAAATATATATATATATATATATATATAGAGAGAGAGAGAGAGAGAGATAGAGAGAGTGAGAGAAAGATAAAACATGTCTGAACATTTTCTACATGTGACCAATAACTTGTGACCTATAACGTGAACAATTCAACTGAAAAATAAACTGAAATCTTTGAGGGGGAAAAATAAAAAATTGAAATCTTTAAATAACCTGTTTGCAAAAGTTTGCACACCCTTTTTTAACTGGGATGGGACTGTGTTCAAAATTAACCAATCACATTCAAACTCATGTTAAATAGAAGTCATTACACACCTGCCATCATTAAAAGTGACTCTGATTAATTACAAATTAAAGTCAGCTATTCCAGTAGGATTGCTCTGACATTTTCTTAGTTGCATCTCAGAGCAAAAACCATGGTCCGCAGAGAGCTTCCAAAGCATCAGAGGGATCTCATTTTAGAATGATTTCCATCAGGAGAAGGGTACAAACAAATTTACAAAGCTTTAGATATACCATGGAACACAGTGAAGACAGTCATCATCAATTGTGAAGCATGGTGGTGGCAGCATCATGATTTGGGGCTGTTTTTCTTCAGCTGGAACCAGGGCCTTAGTCAGGGAGGAGGGAATTATGAACAGTTCCAAATACCAGGCAATTTTGGCACAAAAACTTCAGGCTTCCGTTAGAAGGCTGAATATGAAGTTCACCTTTCAGCACGACAACGACTCAAAGCACACATCCAAATCCACAAAAGCATGACTTCACCAGAAGAAGATTAATGTTTTAGCCCAGCCAGAGCCCAGACCTGAACCCAATTGAACATCTATGGGGTAAACTGAAGAGTGCTATGCACATGAGATTTTCCGTTATATTATTTAACCTTTATTTTAACCTTTATTTTATTCTCATTTGCAACAGTGACCTGGGGAGCAGCTGGGGATGGAACCCAGGACATCATACATAGAAGCATGCACTCTACCACTGAGCTACCAACGCCTTGCGATCTGACAGATTTGGATTACTTTTGCAAAGAAGAGTGGGCAAATATTGCAAAGTCAAGATGTGTGATGCTAATAGACTCCTACTCAAAAAGACTTGCTTCAATAAAGAACTTGTTTTTAGGGTGTGCACACTTATGCAACCAGGTTATTGCAATCTACATTTTGCCATTCAGTGTGTGTATTTACTTTTAAATTAAAAACATTTTTAGAACCCATTGAATGTGACAACCTGCCTGAATTTGGTTCCTCTGAGACTACACCTAAGAAGATTGTGACAGAAGGAAGCACCTTAAATATTGGAAGCAGCAGGCATGTCCTTCAGCAAGGGAGATGGCTCTACCAGCGTTCCCAAACCCAGGTCCGCGGTCCTCTAAGGGACCATGACCACTTCTAAGGCTTCCTCAAACCAATTGCTCTGGGTGGGGCTTACAGAGCAAGGCCCCGGAGGACTCCAAGGAGGGTTCCCTACGTGCTGGACCCATTCAGCAGATGTCTCCAGAACATTATCCACCCTGGTGCCAGCACCTAGATGCTGAGTAAAACCACCAGTGGGACCAGCGCAACCAGCACCCCTTCTATCCTGGAGCAGCAGCCAGCACCCCTTATGTCTTGGAGCAGCAGCCAGCACTCCTTCTATCCTGGAGCAGCAGCCAGCACCCCTTCTGTCCTGGAGCAGCAGCCAGCACCCCTTCTGTCCTGGAGCAGCAGCCAGCACCCCTTCTGTCCTGGAGCAGCAGCCAGCCCCCCTTCTACCCTGGAGCAGCAGCCAGCACTACATATGTCTTGGAGCAGCAGCCAGCACCCCTTTTGTCCTGGAGCAGCAGCCAGCACCCCTTTGTCCTGGAGCAGCAGCCAGCACCCCTTTTGTCCTGGAGCAGCAGCCAGCACCCCTTTTGTCCTGGAGCCTGTCAATGACTGGCCGCTGCAGCCTGAACTCCAACTAATGCCACCTATTGGTTGTGATGCTAGACTCATAATATGTGCCGTGCGTATATATAATCTAATGGGACAAGTTTACATTTAGCATAGCAAAAACCCATATAAGGGATATATTTAATCATGCATATTTACACAAAACTATAGCTTCAGAAAAAGTGGTAAATTAAAAGAAATGACATTGAAATACATTTTGACTGTTGAAAGAAAACCACAACAATATTTGAAACATTATGATGTATGAAGTATCTATTAGATTATAGAATTTGATGTGATGTTTCTCAGAACTTCAGTCGAAGACATGATAAAAACCAGCTTAGGATCCTAACCAACCAGTCTCAAGTTTGTTAAGAGGGACGCGTTTACCAACACACTCTGTTTCTACATATTGCCCGTAAACACAGTGCCCTTCAACTCTGAGGCAGTCTGCATGGTCCGAAAGCAATACCTCTGATACTGATACTGGAACTGAAACCTCCTTTACCGTTTATCTGGAATAGAAGGATTTTAATAGCTTGTTTTAATTTGTTTTTGTTGACCAAGGTTATAGCAACCGCCGTATATACAATTACAGACATGCAGAGCATACACCGTACCAACCTGTCCAGAATATGCAATTCTGCACCTCGTTCACCGCAAATCGTTCACTGTATTACCATCCGCTCGCCGTGAACATATCAAATGATTATGGATTTAGCATTGAAGAATGTTACCAGCTAGCATGCTGCAGCAACGCCTCCAATGTAAAGCCTCAAGAGATCCGACACACCGAGAGAAGCCTGAAACGGCTTCTGCAACCCCCCTTGGAATCTATATTTCATACGCGAGCTGTGGAGCTACAGTGGCCAATTATGATCAGATAAGGCACAGGAAGCCCTACAGCGGTGGGAGAGCTATTTAAATGGGGGAGGAGGGGAGGCAGGCAGGCATGGACTCAATTCCCCAGGGGCACTTTGCCCCCTCCCTAACCACACTAATTTTCCTCCCGTCCTTCCTCCCGCTCGCTCTGTTCCTGAGCTTTCTACCTTACCTTACTGTCAGGGTTCAATTAGCGCCGGCGGCGGCTACGCTCGCACCCCGAGCCCTCGGCCAGGGAGCAGGGAGGGAGACGCTATATCACCAGTACCACCACCCCATGCAGCACTCGTCCCAACGTTTACCCAGCAACGGCAGGGTTGACCCTGGGTTGGTTCCCACACAAACTGTCTCTTATAAGGAGGCTTTCATATGGAGGTTATTTTCGGTCTTCTTCAGACAGAAAAACAATAGGGTTGTTCATACAGTCGTGAACTTAGCAACTTAGGTGAACGGTTGTTGGCACTGTGTTAAAATCCACATAGAAACGGGATTAGAGTGCTTCTCATCACAACTGATTCAGACATGACATGCTGAGGCTTTGACCCTTACCTTGACCCTTACCTTGACCTCACATTAGTGCATACAGTGATCTTGTTCTCTGAATTATACAGTCATCGGCAATACTACAAAAGTCTGTGTTGATTATGGACTGGTCGATTAGTGTGGGTCAAGGGGCTGGTGGGTGGAGGATTTCTTTTTGGGGGAATGCGATTTTTTTATGTGATTTATTCCGTTCTTCTACTGTATTGTTTAACGGTACTTACCTACGCTGACATAATATTAGAAGAATCTGAATTGCATTCAGTAGCTTAGGTTTTTCTGAACATTCCGATAGAAATATGCAATGTAGAACAAACACGCCTTTCAAAAAAGTTAAAAAAGCAGTCCGTGCTAAAGTGCCTTCCACCCTCACTCGAAAAAAAGACCTGTTTTCATCCCCACATTAAATGCTTGTTTCAGTTATAGTTAGTTACAACTTTTACGTACACACCTTTATTCAAATTCATGTTTGTTACTCTACTGCAATATGACCAATTTAGGTGGAAATCATTTGTAGCTTAATGTCATACGAATGCTAACATTTATTTGGCTCAGTATCGCTTGCTTAAGCAGATTCAAATTTCTTGTTAGCTGGTTAACTAGATGGGACATAAGAACCTACCCTGTCAGAGCAGGGAGATATGCCATCTAGATATTCAGCAGCCACTTATGATTTGGGAAAAAGTTGCCCATTATAATTTCCAACTTGCTATCTACAAGACACTGTTCCTGTTGAAAATACTGAAAATACATCAGGTGATGTCAACTCAAACCAGCAAAGGTCTGCGGTGATTACAAATCTGTGTTAACGTTACTACATAGCATATAAACATCAAAGGCATACTTTAAATATTTTTTACAGAGATTGTAATATTTAAAAGCGGAGGTTGTAAAACCTTAATATAGTCGTAATATTTTTTTACATCGGGGAGGCTGCTGCATTTTCCTTCATGGATACCTATTGTTCGGCTAGCTAACCTTCCCAATTAACAACAAACAGTTCTTTAGTTTGACGTAAAAGTTAATGTCACGGCCTCTGCGTGACACACTTTATATTGCCCCGGTTCAGGAGAACAGCTCCAGGCCACAACACTGTGTAAGGTCGAACAGAGGTCACGTATGGCTCATGATACGGGGTGGATATTGATTTGGAGGGACAAGCGGAACACACACACACAGACACACACAGACACTCACACGCACACACACACACACACAGACAGACACACACACGCACAAACACACACGCGCACACACACACACACACACACACACACACACACACACACACACACACACAGACAGACACACACACGCACAAACACACACGCGCACACACACACACTCTCTACAGGGCAGGGCAGCCGATAGATCAGCTCTGGGCAATTTTCACGCTGGGTCAGTAGGGCGTGTGTAAGGGTGAGCGTCAGTATGTGAGCGGGTGAGTTTGCGGGCGCGCACACGTGTGTGTGTGTGTGTCTGTGTGTGTATGTGTGTGTGTGTGTGCGTGCGTGCGTGTGTGTCTGTGTGTGTATGTGTGTGTGTGTGTGTGTGTGCGTGCGTGCGTGTGTGTGTGTGTGTGTGTGTCTGTGCATGCGTGCGTGTGCGCGTGTGTGTGTGTCTGTGTGTAAGTTGATTTTCTTTTCTTAATTTTCCAGTTAATAAAAAAGAAAAAGCTTCATTTTAGTTTTGTTTAGGTGGTTCTGAATCATATGAAAGTTTTTTTGAATTACCAGATTTCACCATAAACCACCAGATTCCCCCGTATATACCAACAGATTCCCCCCTATATACCACCAGATTCACTCCTATATACCACCAGATTCCCCCTATATACCAACAGATTCCCCCCTATATACCAACAGATTCCCCCCTATATACCACCAGATTCACTCCTATATACCATCAGATTCACCCCTATATACCACCAGATTCCCCCCTATATACCACCAGATTCACTCCTATATACCACCAGATTCACCCCTATATACCACCAGATTCCCCCCTATATAACACCAGATTCCCCACTATATACCACCAGATTCACCCCTATATACCACCAGATTCACCCCTATATAACACCAGATTCACCCCTATATACCACCAGATTCACCACTATATACCACCAGATTCACCCCTATATACCACCAGATTCACCCCTATACACCACCAGATTCACCCCATATACCAGCAGATTCACCCCTATATACCACCAGATTCACCCCTATATACCACCAGATTCACCCCTATATAACACCAGATTCCCCCCTATATAACACCAGATTCCCCACTATAGACCACCAAATTCACCACTATATACCACCAGATTCACCCCTATATACCACCAGATTCCCCCCTATATAACACCAGATTCCCCACTATAGACCACCAGATTCGCCCCTATATACCACCAGATTTCTCACTATATACCACCAGATTCCACACCATAGACCACCAGATTCACCCCTATATAACACCAGATTTCTCACTATATACCAATAGATTCACCACTATACACCATTAGATTCACCCCTATATACCACCAGATTCACCCCTATATACCACCAGATTCCACACCAAAGACCACCAGATTCGCCCCTATATACCACCAGATTCACCCCTATATACCACCAGATTCACCCCTATATACCACCAGATTCC